TGTACACTTTTCACGTCAAAGCTAGAAGCTAACAAAGCAAACAAGTCTCCGAAACGCTATCCAGGACGCCGTGGAATCGTGTGAAATCCGTATGATTTCTCTCAGAAAAACCTTGCCAAAGCCAGAGCGAAAAATCCACCAAGTGTCGCGTCCCTCTGATGGAACCCAAACGCAGACCAGACCAGATGGGTTCAGGTGAAAACAAAGTCTTTATTGACACTGTGCAGGAGTAGTCCAACGTGCAGAATGGCGAGTCAAGGTGAGGTGGTGGGGGTGGAGGCGTCTCCGTGGCCAGGCGAGGTTGACGGGTTCCCAGGTGCAGAACTAGAAAACAGGACAAAAGACAAGTAAGTGTTTCTCAAGGGAATTCTCGGGATCTCAGTAAGTAGCGGTGGTAGCGAATGCAGGCACACGTACTACTTCGTCTAACAATCCGGCAAGGACTGGATGTCGGTCTCAGCTTAACTAGGGTGGCTAATCAAGATCAGGTGTGTTGGCTTGATTGGCCGCAGGCCTGGAACTCTCCGCCTCTCCACGTTGCTCGGTAACCATGAAAAACAAACAGACAATAGGGAAACATGCTCAGGGAGCTGGGGTCGTGACAGTACCCCCCCTCCGACGGACGCCCCCGGGCGGACCACCCGGTGCACCGGGGTGGCGTTGGTGGAACACCCTCAGCAGGTCAGCGTCCAGGATCTGACGCCGCGGAACCCAGCACCTTGCTTCTGGACCATAGCCCCTCCAGTCCACAAGGTACTGGAAACCCCGGCCTCGTCGCCGGGAGTCCATGATGCGTCGCACCGTGTAGGCAGGACCTCCGTCAATCATCCGAGGGGGAGGAGGCCGAGAGGGAGGGGGTAGCAGGGGACTGAGAAGGACCGGCTTGATGCGGGATACATGAAAAGCAGGATGTACCTTGAGGGATTTGGGAAGCCTCAGCCGGACAACTGCCGGGTTGATGACCCTCTCTACCTTGAACGGCCCAATATACTTGGGGTTCAGCTTCTTGGATTCAGTTCGCAGTGGAATGTCCCGGGTGGCCAACCAGACCTTGTCCCCCACCTTATAGTGGGGTGCGGGGGAACGGCGACGGTTGGCCTGGGCCTGGTACTGACCAGAAGCTCTCAAGAGGGCTGCCCTGGCCTGGTGCCATGTCCGGTGGCAGCGCCGGAAATGAGCCTGGACCGAGGGAACCGCAATCTCCTTCTCCTGCGAGGGGAACAACGGGGGTTGATAGCCGTATAGGCATTGAAAGGGCGACATACCTGTGGCGGCGGTAGGGAGCGTGTTGTGGGCATACTCAGCCCAAGGCAGCCGGGAGGACCAAGTGGTGGGGTTAGAAGAGACCAGGCATCGCAGTGTTGCCTCCATCTTCTGGTTGGCCCTCTCCGCTTGGCCGTTGGACTGGGGGTGGAATCCGGAGGAGAGACTGGCAGTGGCGCCGATGGCAGTGCAGAATGCCTTCCATACCGCCGATGTGAATTGGGGACCTCGGTCGGATACGATGTCCCTCGGCAGACCGTGGATCCTAAAAACCTCCTTGACCAGGATAGCAGCAGTCTGTGTAGCTGAGGGTAGTTTTGGGAGGGGCACGAAGTGTGCAAATTTGCTGAATCTATCAACTACGGTTAGAACAACTGTGTTACCTTCAGATAGGGGAAGACCGGTTACAAAATCCAGAGCCAGGTGGGACCAGGGCCGCCTGGGAATTGGTAGAGGGTGAAGTAGTCCTGCACTGGGTCGATTTGTTCCCTTATTCCGTGCACAGACTGGACAGGCAGCGACAAACCCCTGAGTGTCCTTTCCCATGGCTGGCCACCAGAAGCGTCTGCGCAACAGCGCCATGGTACGGGCCACGCCCGGATGGCAAGCAATCCTCGAGGCGTGTGCCCACTGGAGTACCGCCGATCGAAGGGGTTCGGGCACAAACAAACGACCCGGTGGGCCATTACCTGGACCAGGTTGGCTCCGAAGGGCAGTCTTTACCTCCTCTTCGATCCTCCAGACTACTGCCCCCACCACGAGGCTCCGGGGTAGGATGGTCTCCGTCCTGGCCCTTGTCTCCTCGGTCCTCGCGAATACCCGGGACAGCGCGTCCGCCTTGCCATTCCGGGAGCCTGGTCGATACGTGAGGGAAAAGTTGAAGCGACCAAAAAATAAGGCCCACCTGGCTTGACGTGAGTTGAGACGTTTAGCCGATTGCACGTATGCAAGATTCTTGTGGTCGGTCCAGACGATAAATGGTTGTTCCGCTCCCTCAAGCCAATGGCGCCACTCCTCCAAGGCAAGCTTGACGGCGAGTAGTTCTCTGTTCCCCACGTCGTAGTTTCTCTCTGCTGGGGAAAGACGACGAGAGAGAAAAGCACACGGGTGGAGCTTACCATCGGCAGAGCTACGTTGGGACAGGATGGCGCCTACGCCAACCTCAGAAGCATCCACCTCCACCACGAACTGACGTTTGGGGTCCGGCTGTGTGAGAATGGGTGCCGTGGTGAACCGGTGCTTTAGGTCCCGGAATGCTCTGTCCGCCTCCGGGCTCCAGCAGAAGGGCCTGGCACTGGACGTCAGGGCTGTCAACTGGGCGGCCACCCGGCTGTAGTCGCGGATATTCCGGCGGTAGAAATTTGCAAACCCCAGGAACCTTTGGAGTTGCAATCTAGTAACAGGCTGAGGCCAGTCCAGAACCGCCCTCACTTTCTCGGGATCCATCCTCACCTGTCCCTCCGAAATAATGTATCCAAGGAATGATGTTGTGTGGGCGTGGAAGTCGCACTTCTCTGCTTTAACGAAGAGGCGATTCTCCAAAAGGCGTTGAAGGACCTGCTGGACATGCTGGGTGTGGATACTGTAGTTCTCCGAGAAGACCAGTATGTCATCCAGGTAGACAAACACAAAACGCCCAATCATGTCGCTAAGTACCTCGTTTATCATCCTCTGGAATACTGCAGGGGCGTTAGTAAGGCCGAATGGCATGACTAGGTACTCGAAATGGCCCATGGGGGTGTTGAACCCAGTCAGCCATTCGTCCCCTTCTCTTATTCGGATGAGGTGATAAGCGTTGCGGAGATCAAGCTTAGTAAACACCGAAGCGCCCTGCAGGGAGTCAAAGGCAGAGTTCATCAAGGGCAGAGGGTACTTGTTCTTGATGGTTATATTATTCAAACCCCGGTAATCAATACAAGGCCGAAGGGACCCATCCTTTTTACCCACAAAGAAGAATCCAGCCCCTAGGGGGGAAGATGAGTGACGAATTAGGCCCGCTGCCAGGGCATCCCTGATGTAGGTCTCCATGGCCTCGCGCTCCGGTCGGGAGATGCTATAGAGGCGTCCCTTGGGAAAGGTGGCGCCAGGAATCAGGTTGATTGCACAGTCATAGGGTCTGTGAGGAGGAAGGGCCAGTGCCTGTTGTTTACTAAAAACCTCACCTACGCTGTGATAAACCGTTGGCACCAGAGTCAAATCCGGGGGGGGGGAAGACACCACCTGGCGGGGGATAGAGTGGGAGCAGGCAGATTTAAGACAGTTAGCATGACAGTGAGTACTCCAACTAGTTACCTTGCCTGTCACCCAATCCAGGGTGGGGTTGTGTTTCCTCAGCCAAGGGTGACCAAGAACCAAGGGCATGTGTGGTGAGGACAGGATGAAGAAGGAGATGTCTTCCGAGTGGTTGCCCGATAACTGCATCTTCACTGGCTCCGTTCTCATGGTTACCCGTGCTAGTAGTCTGCCGTCGAGGGTGGTCGCTTCCATGGCCTCCGGAAGTTGTTCCTTGGAGAGCCCCAGCTGTTCCACCAGACTAGCATCGATGAAGCGGTCATCTGCGCCAGAGTCAACGAGTGCATTAATCTCCACAGACTGGTCTCTCTTGGTGAGGGTGACAGGAAAAAGGGGTCTGGCACGAGGGGAGGGGGTCTGAGTGGTTTGGCTCGCTAGAAGGCCTCCCAAATTTAGCGAGCCCGGGAGTTTCCCTGGCGCTGAGGACAGGAAGAGATGTAATGGCCCGCACGTCCGCAGTAGAGGCAGCTCCTGGTATCTCGCCGCCGCTGGCGCTCTTCAGTGGACAACCCCTGTCTGCCCACCTGCATTGGTTCAGGGTCAGGCAGTCTCACCTCCCTTGTCTCGCTAAGTGTCGGGCGATTGGGGTGCTCTGTGCCTTGAAAGAAATTGGGTGACCGTGGATGGTTTGGCAATCCCAACCGTCTCTCCCTTCTTCTCTCCCGACATCTGTTATCCACCCGGATGGACAAGGCCACCAGGTCTTCGAGATTCTGTGGCTCAGGATAGGAAATTAACTCGTCCTTCAGTGGCTCGGTCAACCCCTGGTAGAACACTGCCTGTAGGGACTCGTTGTTCCACCCACTCTCTACAGCCAGTGTTCGGAATTCAATCACATATTCTGCCACGCTGCGGTTTCCCTGACGCACAGCGAACAGGCGCTTTGCTGCATCCTTACCCCGGGTGGGGTGATCGAACAGCCTCCTCAGCTCTGCCGTGAATTCCTGGTATGCGGTGGTACAGGGGTCTCGTTGCTCCCAAATAGCCGAAGCCCACTCCAGCGCTTTTCCCCGGAGCAGCCCAATAACAAAGGCTATCTTAGCCTTGTCCGAGTGGTAGGTTTGAGGTTGTGGAGCAAAAACCAGACCGCATTGTAACAAGAAGGATCTGCAACCTCCCAGATCTCCCTCATACCTCTCCGGTGTGGGCACCTTGGGCTCCCGGACCGATGGGGAAACTTCTCCAGCCTCGACCAGGGCTGGGGGTGATGCAGTTGGCGGAGACGCAGCAGGAGCATTTAGCTGGGCCTGAATGGCAGACAGGCTGGCAGATAAGGCTTGTACCGACGACATGATCTCCTGTAGGGCGGTGCTGTGTTGCCCTAACAAATTTCCTTGTAGGGACACCGCATGGCTCACAGAGTCTAGATCCGCTGGGTTCATGGTGGCCGGATTGTTCTGTCACGTCCCTCTGATGGAACCCAAACGCAGACCAGACCAGATGGGTTCAGGTGAAAACAAAGAGTCTTTATTGACACTGTGCAGGAGTAGTCCAACGTGCAGAATGGCGAGTCAAGGTGAGGTGGTGGGGGTGGAGGCGTCTCCGTGGCCAGGCGAGGTTGACGGGTTCCCAGGTGCAGAACTAGAAAACAGGACAAAAGACAAGTAAGTGTTTCTCAAGGGAATTCTCGGGATCTCAGTAAGTAGCGGTGGTAGCGAATGCAGGCACACGTACTACTTCGTCTAACAATCCGGCAAGGACTGGATGTCGGTCTCAGCTTAACTAGGGTGGCTAATCAAGATCAGGTGTGTTGGCTTGATTGGCCGCAGGCCTGGAACTCTCCGCCTCTCCACGTTGCTCGGTAACCATGAAAAACAAACAGACAATAGGGAAACATGCTCAGGGAGCTGGGGTCGTGACACCAAGCATCACAAGTATAGGAATCACGAATGCCCCTTACCGTTGAAGTTTTAAAATAAACTGTTTTTTAGAGCGAGATACGCGCAACTGTGCGATTCGGCCAACAGGAGCCGCACTGAGAAAATCTTGATTTTTACTCCTGCCGTTTCTCTGCCGCGAGGCCTCCACTAAAGCCTCCGGTAGAGCAGTTCAGCTTCCCTCTATCAACGTGAACCTTTCCATGATTACTGACCACACACTGGGCAATCACTTGGATGTGTTTTTAGCCTGGTATCTCCATGATTTACGGGGCTATTAGTGATTTTCAGGCGATTCTCCAAATTCAAAGGTTTTCTTTTGTGTGCAATATCGATTTATTTCTTCACCAGTAACGCATGAACTGATATTTGCACATCAAACCCCTTGGAGGTGTTTCCCATTATTCTGACAGAAAGAATTGTCCAGATAGACAAAGTAGTTCCAGAGTAATTATACTTTTTGTCATGGGTATGCCACTCTCGGAGCATAGGCTAAAAAACAGGCTAGGGACCTTTTCAGAGCTGATGAGGTTAATCAATTTCCCTTTCTCTCCTCATCTTTCTGTCCCACCATCTGTTACCGTTTCCCTTGTTTGTAAAATGTACACACTTCAACCCCCCCTTGTCCTTTTCTTTTTCAATCACTCCGTTCTACCGCTACCGACTCGTGATGAGATGAGAGCTTCTGACAGCTGCTGGAGTGTAAATCTGGCCTGCCCTCGTGTCAGCTGTCTGCTCTGCCGTGTGGCTAAGGGGACGGGGTCATGACATGCATGGCAGATACATGTTTTTGATGTTGTTGTGTCACTCACAGTGGAGAGAAAAACATCCTGAGTGGAGGCCACCTTTTCACCACATACTGTCCCTCTTTGCCTGCAGGACAGCAAGGCAGAGGCCTCCAACAAATCAGATCAAAATTGGCAGTGTACCATACCATTGTTTTGTGTTGCCACTATTATTTGAAGAGCTGCTTTTTCACTTGGTACTTTGACTGTAGAGTGATTGAAGAGAGCTGCAGAGGAAAATGCCCCGTTTACTTACAAAAACAGATGAGGAAACAACAATCTCTTCTAACTGGACTTAGACTCTGTGCTATTGCATTGTTAACGACTCAGTTCTGTGATGCAGTGGGACACTCCTTACCGCCAGTTTGATCTTAATCTGCTGGAATGAGAAGAAAAATAGGAAAGCATTGAACTGTGTTGAATATTGCATTGAGCTTGACAAGTGTCTCCATAGTGGCAACGGCAGCGAGTAATTACCAGAAATGTCCAAAAATATGGATGCATTATGGAAGAATATTCAGGTGATCCTCTCGACATTCCCTCATGGCAGCTGTTTGTCTGTTCTTGGCCAAGCACACTGCATTTACTCATCAAGAAAATGCCATGTCTTTAAGCCAGTGGGAATTTATTTCCTACCAGTTTATCTCAGTTTCATTTATGCTTCTTTCAGCTCGCAGTAACAAACCCCAGCAATGGGTCCGCTTCAGATGCAGATTAAATGCACAAAGACAAATCCACCTCGAATTGTGTTGGACAAGAGACACAGGATAATGCTCCGTCTTTCTCACAAATGAACTCTACTCCGCTTCCCTTTTTGGTTGACATGTTTCAGTGGTTGGGACCGGGCAGGGCTTCAATACGCTGATTGGTTACCTCGACCTGCTTTTACATTGTCAAAGGTGTTGACGGCATTGGGGACCGGATGTGAGAGATTGTACTTGCGCGGAGAGTGATAAGAAATGAAAAAGGAAAGCTGAATAAGAATCAGGGTTTGTGTGAGGACGACGCCGTCCGCCTGACAATGGCTCATCGCCTCACAGACACACACCATTAGGGGTGAGACAACAGGGGCTCTCGTCTGTTCTCCTAAGAACAAATGTGAGCTCCAAGAGTTTGGACCATTAGGAAAAGATATTTGTCACATAGACTTCAAATAAGATTAATCTGTATTTTTCCTCAGATGCATGGGTTCTAATGGAGTTTTGCATTGTAACATCCCTCTCTTGTGGCGCATCAGGGCATGGAGTGCATCGATGGGACTTTGATTTACTATTCTTAAAATTATGTTGATAGCAGGGACTGTGTATTGCTCTAAAAATAGCTGCGAACTGTTACTTTCTGTCTGTGATTTAAACTCCACAGGAAATCCACATGGACCTTATCTCGGGCTACGGCGTGAATTTAATGGTACATCTCAATCCTCCTGTCTAATTGAGAGAGTGAAACACTTCTTCAGAATCCAGCGCAGCGCTCTGTAAAACCAGCGTTGCATTTCTCAACAGCGCACACTCATACCGTCATCACTCAAACAGGGACGTGTGTGCACACAGAAGATAACACAGGCGTAACACATTTTGTGCATTCGCACATGCTCACTCCTCACCCGGTACAGCATTAGAAAAGACATGTTCAAATTAAGATCGTCTGCAACAGTTTCTCAGGCCCTGAGACCATATTTAGTTATTTCGCACAACCCATTTTTTTTTTTTCTTGTTCTGAATAGTTGAGCGTTTTCTCACCTGCCTCTGAGCATTCATGGTTTCTGGCTCTCGGGCTTTGTGAAAGCTGCTGCTTAGAGATTGTTTGCAGCCGAAGGCACTTCCAGCTCAGTTCCAGGGGAAAGGAAAAGCAATTGCATGCTTCGGCCACAGTGAATCCGTCTCTGTCAGTTCCGCTTCTTGATGCCCTCAAATCACATTCCCCCACCCATCCGCCCTCCCATCAGCCCTTGCTGTTCTGTGATCAGGGAGCGAGAGAGCATCAGGCTAGAAGTGAAATGAGGATGCGCTTTACATGCTCCCTTACCATACCATCCTCCCTCATGTCATCCCCATCTGTTCCCTGGTGTTTGCAATTTCCCGCTCTGCAACGAGACTATATACTTCACGCAGGAGTAGTCACAGTTTACAGTTATGATGTACTTGCCTCTCTGTCTCTCAACCAAGGGCGATTGTTGTTTTAAGATAACTATTAAATTCAGATTTTCTTATTCTAATAAGTGTAACTGGCAAACATGTGTATTATTTCAATAAGTTAGTCAAATTTAAGTTTGGTTTGAAAGGTTTTCTCTAATTTGTACATAAGAACATGTATGTAAAAAAAGTAAACTTGTTCCTTGTCAGGAATATTTCTGGTTTTAATATTCATTTCAGTGACAGGAGGCTGAAGTGCACCATTGCCATATGTTCTAAAGAGGACTGAAAATATTAATGCTGTCTTCCAGGTGTGTTTATTTATTGTGTATTGTTTGTTTGGAAGCTGTAATGTTACTGTCATGTATTTCTTTAGGCTACTGTCATCATATTATCTATCGTCCTGTTGAGAACAAGGGGTGGTGTCACATGTCAGCCTCCTTTGGCCGAGGTGAGTATTACAACACATACAAGGTTTCCCCAAATGAGGGGAAAAAATATGCGTCTCCAGATTTTATTCCTCACTTGCCTCTGTGCTTCCTTAAATTTTACAGGTAAAAACAGCTTTTTTTTATTTTATGACATTCAAAATACATTGTGTAGAAACAAGTTATAAAATGTTTCATATCGGTGTCAGTTGTGCTGCTAGTGTCAGTTATATGTGGTCAAAATGTTGGTCTTTCCTGGTTATGTATTAAGTTACAGAAGGCTTTCAGCTGGAGTTCTTACTTTTATCCTGCATTACTTCTTGACCCTCTCATTTAGCCAGTTATCTTCTCTCACCCAGAATGGGCCGCAGTTCCTCTTCATTCCTGTATGGACAGAAATTCTAACTTGTCATCTGGAAGTTTTACATTCCAATCATTTTATTCTCAAACTCTTGCATTTCGTCATCATGCCTTTGCCTAGTAACTGAAATAGTTAGTTTGCCTTTAAAAAACAGGGACACATCATTGCTGAAAGGGATGAGGGCACGGAAAATGATTGATGGCAGCATATTGGATGTGAAAATAACTTTCCGGACCGTTAATTTTAACAAGTCAAGGAAGCAGCCTCAGACTGTCAACACAGGAAATGAGTAGGATTTATCTTTGGCCCCAAGTGTCTAGGTAGCTTTTACAGAGGACCCCAGTGATGGCCTTCAAAGGTTGTGTGTAGTACACAGTGTACAAGCTTTAGGAAATATAAAGGCATTAAGAAGATGACTTCCCAGGAATTTAATATGAACACGTAAAAGTGTTCTCTTTTACAAGGATTATAGCAATCAACTGCAGAAAATGCATGTGGCACATAAAGCTTTAGCCACTGTACAATTGAATTGATCGAGCTTACTTAGCCAGCTGGCTAAAGCTGCTAGTGACAGTTGAGATATCAGCCAAAAAAGTAAAAGGTGAAAGGTTTTGGGCCTTTGTCCACGTTTTTCTGAAATCAATGACCAGGCTCACTGAATTACTTTGAAATGCAACAATTAGACTTATTTTAAACTTCATTACGTGCCAGATAAGAATGGAAAGCACAGAGAACGGTCAGAACTATATATATATATATATTTTTTAAATGTACTGTAAATGTCACAGTGTGAAAACCTCAAATCTATCTAATCTAAAGTATGTGTAGCTGTTTGATATTTCATAGTCAATTCTACATGTTAGAACAATGCATAATACACAGGATTTTTCTTTCTTGCATACCTCAAAAAATATAGATTCATATTTCCCTGCAGGTATCATAGCATCACTGTCAGGTGTTTTTTTTACTGCTTCCAATATGATCGGGTTCCATGGGAGCAGACCAGACCTGATTTGAGCTGACGCACATATTTTCCTCCCTGACACTTCTGTCTCCTCTTGCATAAGTCACTGTCAATGACCCCGGAGTCAGGAGAGAGGTGTGAGGGAATCATATGCCCTGTCACGGGGCTGCCGATAAATCTCGCTGTGACAGCAGCAGTAGTGCCTCCCAAGGGTGAAGTGATGGTGGGCACCAGTCTTCATTATGTTGATGGTGTTTTTTCAGACTGTATTCTTAAATTGCGTTCGCACATGGATTTTGGAAAAATGCCA